GGATTCCTGGGATTTCTTAGTGAGAAAAAAAGAAACCGTGGGTCCTTAGTGAAAGAAAGAAAGGCAAAACTGTGTGCCTTTATTTTATATGCAGAGTGAAGTAGCTATAGCCTAGAGGTGAGAGCAGGTTGTGTGTGAGGAACGAGCAAACAGAAAATTAAAACGGTACTTGATAAAATCAGAGGTATAATAGGGTTATGTTATTGTACTGAGTATGATGCTTATTATAAGACATGTTTTTCACTCTGAGTAATACAGAAAGCCATTGGGAGTTTTGAGTTGTAGAACATTCTAACTTTTACTTATATGGAGTCATTCTGGTTGTTGTATCAAAAAGAGATTGTAGGAAAGCAGCAAACACAGGGAGGGATGTTGAGATAATCAGATGAGAGGAAGAGAGAGAAAGAATAACAGGTAGAGGGAGAGGGGGAATGAGAGGGAGTGGCAGAGGGAGAGGGAGAGGGAGAGAGAGAAAAGGAGAGGAGACAAAAGAAGAAAAGAGAAAGGGGGAAAAGAGAAAAGGAAGGAAGATTAGAGGAAAAGACAAGGTGAAAATATGTTGGTCTGGGTATAGGTAATAATAGTAGATATTTCTGAGTAGCATAAACTGGATATATTTTGTAGGCAATCCATGACAGCATTTGTTGATAAAAATATGTCAAGTTTGATAAATAAAACTTAAAGATAACTTCAAGTTTCTTGGCATAGAGAACAAGTAAATGCTTTTAGACGTTCAAATGGAAAGAATCGGGTGATTATTATAATTTCAAGTTAGGTTACTTTGTTCTAGGTCAACATATAACCTATAAACATAATAAATTTTATTTTTGTGTCTGAAGATATAGGTCAAATATCAATAACCAACCCTGAAAATTCATATTATGTATTTTAGCTTAGTCTTCTGGCTTATACTGCATATATAAAACTATTAAAATAGTAATACAAAGTGGCTATCGGGAACATTTAAATGCAAAAGTCTGACAATTTTAATCCTTGTCTATTTATATTCATCTTGGATAATTTAACTGGATGAATTAAAGATAACATAAATTATTCAACTGTAAATGATTTAAAAGCAAACTTCACATTCACATCTTCAATTTTTTTCTTAGAGACTTTCATTAAATATAGCTATTCTGCAATTAATTGTCACAATTTTCTGGCCAGTACATTTATTCCCTATCATAGTCAGAGAAAACTATTTGAGGTAAAAAAAATCTTACTCTACATGTAGTTTATTTAACATTTCAAGTCTTGACAGCATAATTCTATATTTGTGTTAGGGAAAGCAGCTCTTTCCTTTTTGCCTGTCTTATTTCTTGAAGCCAGTTATAGGTGAAATTGTAACCCTGACTGCTATCTCATGTTAACTCAAGACAAGAAAATATGTATGAATATCATGAAGAGATTTGACCTGGAAACTTTTCATTTGCTGAAAGCTGCTTTTTGGATTTTGCCACATGAATTATTACCACAATCTTTTAAATATTCATTTGATTCTAATTGATGTTGTAATGTTGAGAAACACACTCTTTTCATTTGACCTACTCTAAAATGACACTTTTTTTAAAAACCAAATCATTTCAATTCTCATGAGATTGAAAGGTTGATCACATATGTATTTTGTAAAGTGTTACTGAAGTGAACAGAAATTTTAATGCTGTTTTTTCAAATCTTCCCTAAGCAGTAAAACTCATTTTGTAATGAAAGAAGCCCTCTATGCATCAAATAATAAAGTATTATATTTTATTTTTATTATTATTATTATTTTGTTGTTGTTGTTGTTGTTGTTTTAGGACCACACCTGATGATGCTAACAGGCTTTTCCTGGATTCTTGCTTGGGAGCTATTCCTGACTGAGTGATCTAGCATGTCATTCAATGCTAGAGATTGAGTCTGGGGTCTTGCATGCAGAACATTCTCAAAATATTTTCTCCAGCCAAATATGTATGTTAGACAACTGTTTTCAAACTCTGAATTTAAGATTAAAAATATTAATGATTTTATTAATACTTTCTATGTGGTAGGCAGAGCAACATAACGCCTATATATTATCTCATATAACCCTCATACCATCCTCCAAGAGGATATGCTCAATCCTTCTAATATTTGAAGACAGAACTGAAGAATATTATTACTTATTTTGAGGTTTTTTGAGCCTAACATACAATGCTCTCAGGTTACTCTTGTCTCTGCTCTCAGGAAATGCTTCAGGGAACCATAGGGGATGATGGGGATCAAACTCAGGTCAGCCCCATTGCAAGGTAAGTGCCTCACCTACTGTATTTTCTCTCTGACCTCCAGAACTGAGGAGTCACTGTAACATGACAACATTCATGCAATGATAACAAGTAATTACCCAGTTAAATCCTGAAAGACAATGAATTGTGTGCTTCTTTAATTCAGTTAATATTTCTTAATTACTATAGTTTGTAACCACATCGGGCTGGAGCAATAGCACAGCTGGTGGGGCATTTGCCTCGCAAGCGGCCAACATGGCCAACTCGAGTTCTATCCCTCTCCCCCTCTCAGAGAGCCCAGCAAGCTACTAAGAGTACCTCACCCACACGGCAAAGCTGGAAAGCTACCCTCGACGTATTCGATATGCCAAACACAGTAACAATTGCCACAATGGAGACGTTACTGGGCCCACTCGAGCAAATAGATGAACAATGGGAGGACAGTGACAGTGACAGTGTAAACATATAATACAATGCTATTGGTATTACAGCTAGAAAACATGTTATAATACTGGGATCTATATTAAATATATTCACATGATTGACAAAATATTTATTTTCTCATATATTTGATCTCCATCTCCAATTCTTGTCTTACAATTTCCTACAAGTCTTAGAAGGACATGTTGCAAATAATAAAGGTGTCTTTTGATACATTAACGAAGACAATTGTTGGGTCACACTTAATCAGGGAGGTTAGTTAAGAAGAAAATGAGGTAAAACAAGGGCAGGGATATTCAGTACTATCTCTTTGACTTCAGAGGGGAACAGAGGGAATGAAAGTTGAATCAACTTCCAATGACAAGTGGATTATTAGTTGAGCCTATACAATGAAGCCTCCATAAACAATCAGGAGGAGGAGGCTTTGACAACTTTCCAGGTGGGTGAGCATGGGGAATTAGAAGGAAGGAGAATGTCCTGACTTGAATACATAGGAAAGCTGTGAGTTTATTCCTCATACCTACCTCTATTCTACCTTTTATGCAGCTCTCCTATCTGACTTTTAATTCTTATCTTGGGCGTCTACCTTGCACGCAGCCAACATGGCCGACCCGAGTTCGATTCCTCTGCCCCTCTCGGAGAGCCCTGCAAGCTACCGAGAGATATGCCAGACACAGTAACAACAAAGTCTCCAATGGAGACGTTACTGGGCCCGCTCGAGCAAATCGATGATCAACAGGAGGGCCTTTACTTTTACTTACTTTATCTTTTAGTATCCTTTTTGTAATGAACAAGTGATTTTGTGAGTAAATTAGTTCATGAGTTCTATGTGCTCTTTTAACAGATTATTGAAAGTGAGGAAAGTATTTTGCTAATGAGAAGCACATATGATAATCTGGACTTGGAAACGCATCTGGAGTATGAAGAGACTGTTATAGAAACCTGAGTCTGTAGCCAGTGGGGCAAAATCTCAGTTAAAATCCTGGGTCCAATCTGGGGCTTGAGAATGCTGCTTTCCAAAGTAGAGGGTGGTCTTGAAAAGCTAAACCCTTAATCTATGGAACTGCAGCTATGTCTGGACAGATTATATCAGAATTGGGTTAAATTCTTGGGATACCCTGCTAGTGTCTGAGAAGTTTGTTGGTGTGGAGAAGCTTACCACTCTTCCTGAAACTGGGTCCGGAACAAACCATGAATCAACATATGTTGCCAGATATGTAGAAAATATAAAAAGAAAACCCAAGTTCTATATCCTTAATCGAATTGCTTTCATTGTTTTAGCAATAACTTCCTCTAATATTTTCTGAATGGCTAAGAACTGTACCATATTTCAATTTCAGGATACTTTAGAGAAGCTTTACTCAACTGGGGACCATATACCTATATAACTCAGGATATTGCAAGGAGGCCATTACATAAATGGGGGCCTTGCATAGGACTAGTGGGCCAACTGGTAGGACAGGGGAAATGGGAAGGTACAAAATCTAAAGGGGTCCATGGTCAGAAGATGGCTGAGGAATACTATTTTACTGAATGCTGATAAGTTCCAAGAAACATGTAGTTTAGCAAGTCACTGTGCACATTCAAACACTCAAGCTACCAACAGAAATAGACAAAAGAAAAATATGTTTGAGTGACAAGTTATACATGGATAACTTCAATTATACATATGTTCTATATACAGCAACTTTATTTCAAGCACTTTATCCCAAGAAACTAAGATTAGTATAAAGATTAAATCACATGGGTGAAAGTTAAAGATAGAGTGAAAAAGTAGATTTTGAAATTTCTAGGAACATGAATTATGTATAAAAGAATGCTAGGCAGTCCTCAAAAATGACATTTGAGAAATATGTATTAATATAGAAATAAGATAATAAACTGTTACTGGGAAAATATAAATTATAAAATAATATAGAAGCTGTATATCTCTTTGTGGGAATATGAGTGTATTTTAGTATGTCTAAGGGTTATTTTTGGTAATGGAGATAATTTTATTCTTGAGGATTTTTTGTCTTCCATTAGCTTGTATAATAAGTATATAATTTAATAATAAAATCAGAAAGCTCTTTTAGAGAAAACATTTTATGCTTTTTCCTGAAACACTGTCACTGTCTGGTTTATATAATTTTCAAAAGAGGTCCATAATTTATTATTTTTGTTAATGTTTTACTTGCTGAATAAAACTATCCTCTTCTTAAAATATCCTTATATGATATACTTAACTGTGAGAATTTCATTCAAAACAAAGTAATAACATCAAGAAAACTAATATTTTCCTCAAGAGAAAAGATACTTAGTCTCTTTTTTTCCCCCTCACATCAGATGGGTAATGTGCCAAAAGCATAACAAATTTTAAGAGAGACGCATATTACACAAATGTGTGAACACCCCCAATCATCATGTTTATAAACCAGACAAGGATGTGACTTTTTAAAAAAATTTCATCTAAACTATATAGGAAATTATCTGCTCTATTTTACTGGAGACTTCTATTTTAAGATTTTTGACTCTTAGGAAGACTACCAACTTTCAAAATTGATAATTTCCCTATTTTTATTTTTTATTTAGATAAAATGGTTTGTCCAAATAAAATAAAAATAAAACATCATAAATAAAAATAAAAACTTTAGTGGTCTGAAAATTGTACACACATTCCTAAGATTTTCATTTTGTGCTTGCAAGACTTTGTTCTTGTTATTTTCCGAAATATATTGCTTCAAGTGACTGCTCTACATATGAATGCACAGTGTAGTTAAGATACACTGTAGATGTTTGTCCCTAACGCTGTGCCCAGTCTTCTTTTCCTCCCAGGTCAGTCAGTACTCGAACCCGGGACTTGGCTTTCTCCGCAAACGTGCCCCAGGCGTCCTCTAGGACCCTGGGATGCTCACTATCCCTGAGCCTCTTCCTGCTTGTCCCCAACACTGTGCCCAGTCTTCTTCTTCCCCAGGTCAGTCACTACTCGAACCCGGGAATTTGCTTTCTAATGCATATGCACACCACGCGTCCTCTAGGACATTGGGATGCTCACCATCCCTGAGCCTCTTCCTGTTTGTCACCAACGCTGTGCCCGATCATCTTCCTCCCCCAGGTCAGTCAGTACTTGAAACCGGGACTTGGCTTTTTCTGCATACACGTGCCAGGCATGCTATAGGGCCCTGGGACACTCACCATACCTGAGCCTCTACCTGTTCATCCCCAACGCTGTGCCTGTTCATCTTCCTCTCCCAGGTTGTACTCCCCCGAAAACACCAGGTACCCCCTAGCGGCTGTGGCCTATTCAGAAATGGGCATGTCCTCTATAGAAGTGGGCGTGGCCTAATTTTGGACCAGCAGATTCTCACGCGGCCACAGATAATTGACTCATACACAGCATCTCCTGTAACATCTCAGTCTCCATGCCTTCACATCAACATGAGAAACAACACAAATCCCCACCATGAGGGGAGGATGATGAAAAGAGTCCAGAAGCCTTATTAGGTGCTACTCCCCTAAGGGACTTCTCTGAGGAAGAATTCAAATATGAAGTAATAAAGATGATCAATATACTTAATGAAACAGTGAGACAGATATCCAGTAAATTAAAGGAGGGCATGAGAGAAACAATCTAGGAAATACAGGAAGAAATGAGAGCAGAAATTGGAATGCTCCACACAGAAATGTCACGAATAAAAAATTCCGTAGATGAAATAAAAAACTCAGTCTGTGCCCTCAACAGTAGAATGGCAGCAGCTGAAAACAGAATCAGTGAGCTGGAAGATCTGCTGCACAAAGCCTACAGGCAACAACAAACAATGGCAAGAGACCTCAAATAGCTCAAGAGAGAATCAGAGTCCTAGGTGATGATTCCAAGAGGAACAACATTAGAATCATTAGAGTAACAGAAGGTCAGGGAAACAATCCCAATGAAAAAGACATGGTTAAGCAAACCTTTGCTGAAAAGTTCCCAGAACTGGACAATGAAGCCATTCAGATTCAAGGAGCCCAAAGGGTTCCAGCTAAAAGAGAGCCTAACAAAAACACTCCAAGACATATCATAGTTTGAAAGATGGGATGCCACGGATAGAGCCAAGGTCAAAGAAGGAAATTACATACAAAGGAGCACCCCTTTGATTCACAGCAGACCTATCAGAGGAAACACTCCAAGCCCGAAAGCAATGATGGGAGATAGTGAAAAAACTCACTGAAATGAATGCTTCATCAAGAATACTCTATCCGGCTAACCTCTCACTCAAACTCGAATGAACAGTACACTATTTTGTGGATAAACACCAGCTTAGGAACTTCATAGACTCAAAACCAAACCTAAAAGAAGGGCTAAAGGGGCTACTATAAGACAAGACAAACTCTACAAGCACAACAAACCCTTACGGAAAGATGACAGAAAACCCCATAACAATAATCTCTCTCCAAGTCAATGGTCTAAATTCACTAATTAAGAGACAGAGAGTGGAAAAATGGATTCAGAGACAGAACCCAAAATTCTGCTGCCAACAAGAAACTCATTTGAACAGTCAGAGCAAACACAGACTCAAAGTTAAAGGATGGAAATCAACCCCACAACAAACAGCTCACTCATAAAAGCTGGGGTGGTCATACTAGTATCCGAAAACATAAATTTCAGGTTGAAAAAGATTATAAGGGACAGCAAAGGCAATTTTCTATTTAGCAAGGGATACTTACAAAAAGAAGAAATCACACTCTTTAATGTATACATACCTAATGAGGGAACAGCTAAATATTTAAAACAACTACTAACATATTTTAAGGAGGACATAGCTAGCAACACAATAGTATCCAGAGACTTCAACATTGTCTTATCATCTCTGGATAGAATACCAAGAACAAAACTCAGCAAGGAAACATTGACTTTGAAGGAAGAAATAGAAGAGCTAGGGCTCATAGACCTATACAGGGATTTGCACCCCAAAAAGAAAGAATACACATTCTTCTCCAGTGCACACAAAACATTTTCCAAAATAGACCATGTGCTAGGCCACAAAACATACCTCAATAGAATCATGAAGATAGAAATAGTATCAGCAATCTTTTCAGACCACGATGCACTGAGAATAGAAGTTAATCACACACAGACACGGAGAACCAAATCAAACACCTGAAAACTAAACAACTCAATGGTGAACAGCAAGTGGGTCAGGAAGGAAGTCAAGGACAAAATCAAAAGATACCTGGAAACAAATGAGAATGAAGGCACGAGCTACCAGAACCTATGGGATGCAGCTAAGGCCTTGTTAAGGGGAAAATTTATAGCTCTGCAAGCATTTCTGAGGAAGGAAGGGCCTACATAAACAACTTGACTTCACAGCTCAAGATCTTAGAAAAGCACCAACAAAAGGAGCCCAAACAGGGCAGAAGGAAGGAGATCATAAAACTTAGAGCAGAAATCAATGACATGGAAACCCCAAAAACAATCCGAAAGATCAATGAAACCAAGAGCTGGTTCTTCGAGAAAATAAACAAGATAGATAAACCATTAGCAAGACTCACAAAGAAAGAGAGAATCCTAATATAATGAATCAGAAATGAGAAAGGGGATATTATCACAACAAAAACCAAATAAATTTAAAAGGTCGTCAGAGACTACTTTGAAAGTCTGTATGCCACGAAACAAGAGAACCTAGAAGAAATGGATAAATTCCTGGATTCCTATCATCTCCCAAGGCTGAATCAAGAAGATCTAGAGTACCTGAATAGTCCTAATAATATCAAGTAAATTGAAACTGTAATCAAGTGTCTTCCCAAAAACAAAAGCCCAGGTCCAGATGGATTCACTATCAAATTTTTCCAAACATTTAAAAAGGACATATTGCTAGTTCTTCTCAAGCTTTTTCAGGAAACTGAAGAAACAGAAACTCTCAAAAACAATTTTTATAAAGCTTATATCTCTCTAATACCAAAAGGAAACAAAGACACCACGAGAAAAGAAAACTATAGGCCAATATCCCTGATGAACACGGATGCAAAGATTCTCAACAAAATACTAGGAAATAGAATTCAACAACTCATCAAAAAGATCATACACCATGACCAAGTGAGATTCATCCCGGGGATGCAAGGATGGTTTAACATTCAGAAATCAATCAACACAATCCATAATATCAACAAAAGAAAAGATAAAAATCATACAATCATATCAATAGATACAGAGAAAACATTTGACAAGATCCAGCACCCATTTATGGTAAAAACCCTTGCCAAAATCGGGATAGAGGGGACTTTCCTCAATATAGTAAAAGCAATCTACCACAAGCCTACAGCAAGCATCATCCTCAATGGGGAAAAACTGAGAGCCTTCCCTCTAAGATCAGGGACGAGACAAGGATGCCCACTCTCTCCACTGCTCTTCAATACAGTACTGGAAGTTCTTGCAATAGCGGTCAGGCAAGGAAAAGATATTAAAGGCATTCATGTAGGAACGGAAGAAATCAAGTTCTCGTTATTCATAGATGATATGATACTATTCTTAGAGAACCCTAAAACCTCTACCAAGAAACTTCTAGAAACAATAGACTCGTATAGTAAAGTTGCAGGCTATAAAATCAATACCCAAAAGTCCATGGCTTTCCTGTATGCAAAGAGTGAGAGAGAAGTGACATGAAATAAAAATCCCGTTCACAATTGTGCCCCAGAAAATCAAGTACCTAGGAATCAGCTTAACTAAGGAAGTAAAAATCCTGTACAAAGAAAACTACAAAATGCTAGTTCAGAAAATAAAGGACACAAGAAAAGGGATAGATATCCCCTGCTCATGGATCGCGTGAATTAACATTGTCAAAATAGCAATACTCCCCAAAGCATTGTACAAATTCAATGCTATCCCTATAACGATAGCCATAACATTCTTCAAAGAAATGAAGCAAACACTCCTGAAACTCATATGGAACAATAATCCCCCAGGAATAGCTAAAGCAATTCTTGGGAAAAAGAAAATGGGAGGAATCAAACTCCCTAACTTCAAACTCTACTACAAATCTGTACTAATTAAAACAGAATGACACTAGAACAAAGGCAGGGATGCAGATCAATGGAACAGGGTGGAATATCCATACAAAACCCATGTATGAACATCTTATCTTTGATAAAGGAGCAAGAAATGCGAAGTGGAGCAAGGGAAGCCTCTTCAACAAATGGTGGACAACCACATGCAAAAAATGGGCTTGGACCTCGACCTAACATCATGCACAAATGTCAGATAAAAATGGATTAAAGATCTCAACATCAGGCCAAAATCCATAAGATACATGGAAGACAAGGTCAGCAAAACCCTCCACGATACTGAGGCTAACAGTATCTTCAATGATGACACTCCACTGACCATCCAAATGTAAATAGAGATAAACAAATGGGACTATCTTAAATTAAGAAGCTTCTGCAACTCAAAAGATATAGTGACTGGAATAC